ATATTGTAATTTTAAAATTTTAATTTTATATTATATATTAAAATAATATTTAATAAATTTTTATGTCAAAAAATTTATTTATAATATTATCTACACCAAATGATTGAATTATTTCCTTTTTAATATAAACAATCAAAGAGTTAAAGAGAGGTCCATCCTTTATATTTGCTGCAAAGCCTCATTTTCACAATTTTTATGATAAAAAATATTTTTTTTTTGTTATTACTATAAAAACGAAAAGAATAAGCATTAAAGTAATTAACTTATAAATGAGACTATAAACCTCTGATAAACCTCTGATTTTCTTATCTCCACAAGTTATTGACATAATTTAGAAATAGGACAACATCCAATCTCTTTATCCTACAACTTTCTACAAACAAATAAATTTTTTTTTCTTTTTACAAGCTAATTACACTTTATATAAGTTTATCTTTCTTTTATACTAATTTATGTTCTATTGCTTTTTTTTATATGACTATATTCAAGATTTTTCCTTTTATTGAATTCATGTATGTCTCCTTTATGGATTTGTACTTTTTTTTTTCAATTTTTTTACTCTGATCTAATTCTATTCTATATAATTTTAATATAACTTCAATATTACCATAATATTTAATTTTATTTGTAATCTCAACAACTTTAAATCTTAAAAGAAAATTATATAATTTTTTATGATAATAAAAAATCAATAAGTTGCATTACTTAAATATTATTTCCTCTATACTAGAATAATAGATTTTTTTTGTTTTATCTTCAAATGAAAGATTTGAAAACAATTTTTATCTTTACCTATTTTATACTTAAAAAATAACTAAAAATAAATATCTACTTCCATTAGAAAATAAATAATTAAAATTAAGAGATAATTATATGGTTAAAGTAGAAAAAAGCTATTTATTTTCCTCAAAATAAAAAAATACTATTATTCTGAGATAAATTCTAAATAAAAAATATCAATTATTTTGAGATAGAGAGAGTATATTAATTTTTTTGTTAAAACATATCTACTAACAAATATAAAATAAAATTTTAAAACAAAAAAAAAAACTTACAAAACTTTAAAGTTGAAATTCAATATGACAATATATGATTCATGTAAAAAGAGATAATGTTGTTTTTAGTCTTTACTAAAAAGTTAGTAGTCCCTTTGGTGGTTTCTTAATTTATCTTCATGCTTTAAATAAGGAGAGCAGTGTTGTAATGGCTTGCATTGAGCTACACTCGGAGTCTCTTTTATTTATTTATTTTGATGTTGATTAGTTGAAGGAGATTAAAATCGGAACAGTAGGGTTGGATATTAAAGAAATGGCATAGAAGACACAATAACTTTTTTTTTTTATATAAAATTCAATTGTAGGTCTTAAGATGGGTGGATTTTAAATAATAATAGGTAATTAAATTGTTAAAATGAATAATTGATTATATAAATTATATTTAAACTCCTAAAATAGTCCATTATTATTGAATTTTTTTATTTTATGTATTTTAACAATTAAAAATATAATATTTATAATTTTAATAATAATTAATTAATTAATTATATATATATATAACTTTTTTTTCCAAATCCCAGGGACCACCGCCCCACTGGTCTCGTGTTGCTCCGCCACTGGCGAACGTAATAACTAATATTATTTGGATGATGGAAAGCTCAAATCGTTTTCAGATAGCGACCGGCGTGTAAAAGGTGATGAGGTTTTTTGTTTTTTTTTTTTCTTGTAATAGAAAAGTTTTATTCG